GGGGGGCGCATCGCAGAACCTGGCCTTGGGGAGGCAGGGAGAGTAAATCCGGCCCTGATAATGTCAACTCTATGAATGGGGCATTAGGTGACAGGAACAGAGCATTGGATCACCAGATATTATTTTAATTTAGGCATCAGAGAATCAAGCAACATTTTGGTTCGCAGGAGGTTTGGCGAGCACAGCAGGAAATCCACAAACCCCAAATATATTGGTGAACCCTATTGAAGTCTCTGGTCGCCGAATCTTGCTATTTCATCTGCCCCTTTTTCAAGGCAATTTGCAAGCAATTGTTTTAAGAAAATGCATGAGTAGCTGGGCACTGCCATGGGGGATATGAGCCAATGTAAAAATATAAAAATTATGGTTCAGCAGGGCGGGGGGTCTTTCAATACAGTTTAAATAGCAACATTGAAAATACACACATCCTTCAAATAACATGCTTGGGGGATGCCTTAAAGCTGCATGTGAAGTTGGGAAGCAGTACATGGTTTCCTGTGGAGTGCCCCAATGTCACTGATGTCACGCATGCATTACTTCCATTTTTTGGACTGTCCCTGTGTATGCCAACCACCAAGATCAAGCAGTCTGTGCATTCATATTTATGTGTTTTGCTGTATCATATTTTATATACACATATACACCTCTAGTGGTCATCTGTCATATCCATGAATGTGACTAGAAGGAACCTGGCAAAAGAGGAATGTTAGCATGGTGGTGGTAAGGCTACCCACTCAATGACAGATCCACGGCTGGTTTGTTGACATACAGCAGTCATCCAGGGCTGTGTCATTTTGCGCTGGTAGCTTATATATGTCAACAAACTGGGCAGGCATCCTGGTTGACATCATTGACCAAATAGTATCATGAACATATTTGGTCAAAGACGTCACCCAGGATCCCCAGTTGGTTTGTTGATATACAGCAAATGGTCAGGAATCTGTCATTCTGTGACTGGAGTGTGTCAGGTGATCATCACCAAGTGGTGGGTTGTGGTGTGAACATCATCAGGTGGGTCATCATGATTGACAAGATTCTACATCACTGGACAATGTAATTATCATGCCAGAGAGAAAACCAGCAAACAAGAGCCAATCAAGTGTGCTGCAGTGCCCATGTTCTAACAAGGGGAATACTGATAGTGGGAGGAGAGTAGAGTGAGAGAGAGATACGCTCAATAGTCTGCTTCCCATCCTTCTTAGTATAATCACAGGCTGGGGTAGACCTGTGTTACTAAACTGCAGCACGGTAATATTTTTCATGTCCTTCCTGTGCAGTCCCATAGGCAACAGAGTTAGACCCAGTGCCCTTAGTAATCAGGACTCAGTAACAGACCTGGTCAGACACACCCTCTCTCTTCCTCTGTGATACATGTCTGGTGAGGACACCTGTAATGGACTGTGCTGTATGGCAGAGCTTTGCAAATCTCAGGTCTGCATGGACAGAAATACAAACCTTTGGCAGATAAGACAGCTCTCACCAATGTATTTAGCTGTTGTGGAGTTCAGCGGTTTTCTGTTCTGGCAGTGTGCAGTCTTGCAGGCACTATTACTTTTACTTGAAAAGGTTTGTTTTGTTTGTGAAAGGAAAGTTTGCCATCTGCTGGGTTTGTGGATGCAGTGCAGTATTTTTACCTAATAGCAAATTCTTAGTCAGCTTCCTAAAATGTTGTCTAGGGGACACTATTAAAGCTGATTTACTTGCCTGATCCTTAGTCCTGCCGGCTCCCTCACTGGTCTGGTCTGATTGGTCCCCACAGATTCTTCTCCCGTGGGCTCCTGCGGTTTAAGGACTGCTGACATCTCCATGATTTATGCAGGTTCCACATACTTACCTCGGCACAATTGTGTGCCAGGACAAAGAAACTCCCAATGCGCATGTGTGGGAGTTACATCATCCAGGCTTGGACCAATCAAGAGGCTGTAGACTCCGAAACCATGAAAAAGACCGGAAGAAAATGGAAGCAACATCGACGGAGGGGAACACAGACATTGCAGTGCTGGAGGGGATCGTTTTGGAAGGTAAATCTGCCATAATGTGCTAAAATGCTGTACATACTACATACTAGTACATTATGGCACACAGCTCTTGGGGGCCTACAAGTCTGGTGGGTTAGTTCTGCTTTAAAGCCCATCTCTAACCAAACGTTTTTTAGTTTTAAATCAAGTGAAGAATTAGAGCTTCTATTTAGTTTTAAATGCTGCCTATGTCCCCACAGAGGAGATTTGTCTTCCTGTTCTGTCTGTACCCATCATCTGAACAGAAAGTGTGTGTGAGGGTGCAGGGGCAGAATCTTCCTCATGGGGACACAGGCAGCAATAAAATCTTGAGAGTTTCTAAACCATTTCCACACCACTAGAGAATGTGTTGCTTAAGAATTGTATTGCTGTTACTGTTAGGGGGAGATTTCAACACACTTCCTGTTCTGCCCTTTACTGTACAAAAACAGACATGAAGGCGGGAGATATTCACATCCTGTTCTGTCTGAGTGAGGGGATGTCTCCAAATTGGGGACACAAACAGCAATAGGGTTATGACCCCTTCCCATTCTATCCAAAGCTTTTCTGAAACTCAATTTCAAATCTGGAAAAGATTTTATTGGTCTCATCAATGATACTTTGAAGTATCAGCAATATGTAAGGGCACTTGTTCACCAGTGCACTGCAAAAAGTAATGATGATATTCAAAATGTCATGGCCCAAAACAGCCAAAAATATTTAAAAAACCATCATTGACATTTTTACTGTAAAATGAACATTGGCTACTATGGGTGCCCCCACTACACACATTATTGTTGTTTAGTGAATAAGCTGTCACAATTTGGGTGAATATACATTCTCCAACATTTTGGTTTCTTTGGGGTATAACCAAACAGTAAATGAGAATTGTACAGCTCCTGATGAATTTCTCCATTCTTCTATATTACAGAAGGGTTCTTTTGGTGTTTTCTTTTGAAAGACAATATATATACAGATATTTGCTTTGGGCTCTTATATTGTTTAAAATATTTGCCTATATGAATTACCAACTTACAATATACACTATGGGGTCTGAAGTATAAAGGCTTTGCCCAGTGTATAGCTGGGTGAATGCTATTCACATTGCATTACAGCTGCTAGATAGAGCTGGAGGAGCATAGGAATTTCCTT